TGCAAACTGCTAGTCTTAAACTTGGTGCTGGTCATACGCATCTTGGCTATCTTAGGTGGAACTGTTTTGAAGCAGTATTATTTATTGCCAAAAAAAGTTGTTACTGACATAACTTTGGGTGGCAATATTTAATTACTGTCTGCTTTAGCGGTACTGCTATAGTGCTGAAAGGACTCTGATTTGATTTTAGACGGTTTAGGGCAATAATAACATTTTGTCAAGTTCACTGGGTACGTTCGAATTGCAGTAAAGAAATAAAAAAGAGGGGTTTTTTTGTATATACGTTTGAAATTGGTGCAATACGTGACTTGTGGTGAATATAATTCCTTTTCTTCTCTTTTTTTTTTCCCCTACTCGATTAAAGCTCAAATTTTAAGGCTATCATATACTCTGGTTGCCTAAATAGATACCACATACAGGACGGCTTTTTTGAAAGGAGGATGGGTTTCATGTTGCAGTACCTATACTCGATCAGGAAGAACAAATAGGGGAGCATTTGCTCACTTAGATGCAGCCATAAACTTGATGCAAAAGCTTTCTCTTTTTTCTGAAAACGTATGATGTTAGAAGGGATCATATAACTTCCAGTTTATTCTTCTAGTCTTCTAATGACTGTCCACCAGCCACTTTGCTCTATAAATATTGGTATATGATAAACCTGTACTTTTGAACGCATATAATCTGCTGATGTGGACGGAAGATTTTGAAGGTTTGCCAAATGTGGTATTCAAAGTTTACTATTCAGCCCTGTATTTTGTATAGCTGTAGTTGCTAATTTTTGAACAATTTTTAATTCTTATTCCTCTATATTGCATTTTTTGACCGTCTTTTGAAGCCCTGAAACATCTTGACACTTGTTTGTAACTTGGCTGTTATGCTTTTGCTTATCAAGTAAATTTTAGCAAGTTTTGTGGGGTACTATATAGATGATAAATAGTATAACTGAGCATAAAAATTAATTCTGAAACACTCAGTTAGTGATTCTGAGAAAACTGTTTACGACTCAGAAGTAAGCATATGTTGAGAGAAATTAAAGATGTGATCGAAACAAATTTTATGCGTTATATAACTTATCACACCTGTTTATTTTCTGTACTCTATACGCTTTTTTGTAGCTGTAGTTTATAATTCATTCCTGTATGATTTATGCACAATACGTGATGGATTTTTGTGATAAGATGTATTTTGAAGAAAGTTTTTTTTTTTTTCAGGAAAATTTGTATTGCGTAAAGACGAATAGTTTATGCTAAATAACTATGATTGTTTTTGACAAACCTCTAAATGAGACTCTGGAGAAGCATGTTCGAGATCACTGCAATTTACAGAAACGAATTGGTTTGTTGGGTACAGCTGGATTCCTAATCGGCTCTCGCGTTGGTGAAGACGTCCACGTAGCTCATATTGCGATATGTCCTTTGCCAGAGACTGCTGATGATCGAGTTTGTTTTATATCTTGGTTTATTTTTATTTTAATCGTAATGTTGACCAGCAGAATTTTTAAAAGTACTATTCGACTTTAGTTTTATTTGTTTTTAAGTCACTAGAAGATTACTTGAAAACTTTATTTTGTTTCCTGAGTGGTTGCCTAGTTTTGATACTACTACGCCTCTTGTCGATATCCTTATTTCACTTACGGTTAAATCTTTGAATTTACCAGGTGTAGTAAGAGGGTCTGCTTTACAATCCGGATGGACTTAGTTTTTCGTGATTTCGGTATTTTAATTCAAAATTCTATTTTCTAGGCCGGGGATATGAGATCGAGGCTTGTAGATTCAGAATGGATTGCAGATCATGGTTATCGGATTATTAGGCTCTTACCGGGCGGAGTCGACATCGTTGGTAATATTTTTTTTTGTGCCGATGAACTTGGCTGAAAGGCATTTAATCTGCTTAGAATCACTGTTCTTTGCTGGTAGGGTTGCTTTGGTTAGCTGATAAAAAGCTATCAATAGAACCTCGATCGGTCCTTATGAAAGCATTGGCATTAATTAACAGAAGAAACGGTTTTACCAGCTCTTTACACTACATGTCTCCGTCGAATAATATGGCAGGTTTTGGTCATTTAAGTTTGACAATTTTAATAGTACTCGAGAAGTTCCTTTTCTGAAGGGCAGAAGTAGAGATTATCTGTGTTTAAGCTACTGTATAAGTTTTAAGTCGCTGGTTTGCATTGAAACACCATTGGGGAAACCACAGGGCTACATTGTGGACTGTAGTCGCAAAGGAGCTGAAGGTTCACAAACTCGAGTGTCATTTGCTCAGGTACTTTGAATTTATCTCTCTCCTAAATTTAATTTTAAGGCGGTTCTCTGTGTGAGACTTTAGTTTTCTAATAGTTCAGGGTATAGAAGGTGAACAAAAGCAATTTATTGATTGAGGTGGTAATTGCAGCTAGAATGGATCAGTGTACAATCTTCTGCGACTTTTAGTTTGTCTGTACCAATTGAAGACGTGACAACTACTACCAATTTCTACAAGGTCTTTTGCACTGCTATTAGTGGCTGGACGAAGAATGTAATTTTTTAATTTGATTTTAAATTATCATCACTTGTGAAAATACCTTAAAATTAAGCTCAAATTTCTTTTTATTCATAAATCGTGTGTTTACAACTGCTTTTTAGTTTTTTACTACTGAAACAGCTCTTGTAAATGGATGCATACGTAATGGTAGCGAACCCCTACGGTCTCGAGAAAAGAAGGGAAAGGCTAATGTTGATCCTGTACGAGTGAGGACGTTTGTTTCTGCAGGTTTTTTGCTATATTTTCTGTTTTACTTTTCTGAATGTTCCAGGAGAACAAAAACATTTTCTGGTTGTACTTCAGTAGTAACTGCTTGTTTTTGATTATATTTGGAAATTAAGTACAGAAAAGTTTTGCGTTTAGGTGAAAGGTTTTCCAGTAGTGTTCCGTCAGTAGTGAATTCTCTTTGTGTTGCTAATTTAAAGGCAAATATATCTGTTTCCGCCGCAGTACCAAGTAAAGCAACTGTGCAGGACGCGATTACAGCGGTGAAACAACACGTGATTAGAAGCTTATGCAGCCGTGCTGGTCGGGTTTTTGCGCGATAGAGTTCTAGTAGTTTAAGTGATTGTTTTTAAAACTCTTGACTGGAACTTTTTTTAATTTTGAGAAATGATTTGGAAGTTGCTCTCATACTTGTCTAAACTCCTTGAGGTTCTTCAAAATTTTTAATACTGTTTTCTCGTCTTTTTTAGTAAAACTTTATTCAGTAAAAATTTCTTTGCTTTTGGACATTTGTTTTCTGGTCTTCAAGGTCATTAGGAGCTCGATCTAATTAGTTTCAGAACTTCATTATGAGTGCACTGAAGTGGTGGAAGATGAGCCAAAAGACTACACTTCTTTTCATCAACTTCCTCGTCTTGCCTGCATTTCTTTGCCAACTCAACCATCCATCATATTTACCGACTACCTTTTTGAGGGAGACAGTAAAAAGGACTCGCAAGAATCATTTAAAGACCTTTTGTCAATCCAAGTTGACGAAGGTTTTTTTTTGAATTACAGTTGTTTCTACTGCGCATTTTTACTTTTATTTTATTTCTTGAATAACATTTAAATATGTTCCATATTCATCGTTCAAAGTATATTTAACGTGAGACTTGTTAAGGTGAGATTACTGAAGAATACGAACGCCATTTAACGGAAAGCGACTTGATACGGTTCAGCAGTATAGGTGAAGACAATGATAAGCTTCAAAAATCTAGCCTTTCGAGTTCCAGTCAGAGTATAGCTGCTGTTATTTCGGTTGCGAGCCAAGGTCTTACAATGAATTATATTGCGCTAATTTCAGTTATTGTAGCTCTATTTGCCATTGTAGCATACCTGCTGACGCGATCGTTAAGTGAGTAAGCTTTTAAAAATTTTTGCTGAAGTTAGGATTTATTGAACATCTTTTTTTTTTTTAATTCTGAGCAAAAACAACTCGGGCTTTTCTTTTGAACAGACTATCTCGAGTGTTACAAAGAGTACTTTGCTCGGTATCTGTAAATGTTTATTTTTTTTGTTTATGTATAATTTGGTTATATTGTACTGTCTAATTTTCATTGTTGAGCATTGCCTTATCAAGTGGTTCACGTTTCTTTATCTGTGGTTAAATTCTTTATGGTTTTGGAGTGAAGGAAGAGTATTCACAATTTGAAATTTAAGAGGACAGATTTGAAGTGTCGGCCAATCCTGCCATGAAAGAGTAGCATACGCTTAGAGAAGTAGACAGCAGAATACTATTGACAATTGACTTCTGCATCATTTAATTGAAGTATTATTGCAGAATTCCTGCGTATAGAATATTTTGCAGTATTTTGCTTTTGAAAGCAAGAGTATTTAAAAACAAGTAAATGTTGCTTGAAAAAGGCACTGACGGTTTGGTCCTCTGATTTGGAAAGCTTTGTATTATATTTTTAGCTGTTGTAAAACCAGGCTTATGTCTCTGCGTTTACTAGCTTAACGGTTGGAACTCCTGCGGAGGTTGTTTTTGTTGAGTTAATATCGAATCTGGGAAAAACATTTCAATGGTGAAGATTATTTTGGTACTAAGCGACAACGTAATTTGGGAAAAAGAACTGTCATGTTTAGGATCAGACGTGCCAATAATCAGTCATCAAAATTGTTCCGTAATTACCAATAAACCAAAGGCAATTTGGACTACTACTCACTGAAAGAACTGGTAACTAAGTTGAAATAAATCTTGTCAGAAACTGTTGTTTTGCTTTGAGTATGTGTCATTAGTTTGTGGAAGGTATTCCTTTTAAGAACGTGTTGTCCAGAAGCCCTCAAACTGGAAATTTTTCTTTCTTTGCCTTCCCATTTATGTAGCTTATTCACTCAATATTGACTATGAGCTATGCATATTTTGTAAGGGATTTAAAACCCTGTTAAAAATCCTGTTATTTTGAGAATTGGTAGATTGCTGTAAAGAATAGAGAGCAGTATTTTGGCGTGACAGGTTTTAGAAGTAACTTAAGTCAGTTCGTTCCAGCAAGGTGGAAAATCGTTAAAGAACTGGTTGAAGACCATTCTTACAATTAAAAAAAAAGTAGACACAAGAGGGTTTAAGAAGGAGATTGTTTGCCTTAAGTAAATCGATTAGAAATATAAGGAACATTCAATTTTCCAGCTGAAGAAATGTTGTAATCGAGCTTGCTGATTGATATTAGGAACGTATGCAGAACGTTATTGGTCTTGTAGTTTTCTAGGATTTACCCGTTGAATCTTTGGTCTTCTGCATTGTAGATTACGAAAATTCTAGCTTTGAGGCTGGTGGGAAATTTTACAGCACTTTCAAAATCACTGTGGCTCTCAGGAGGGTAAGCTCACGGTAGCAATGCCTTATATCATTAAATACACTTAGAAAGTTAGTTCCTACCTTTCCAAATATATCTGTTGGTTTTTTTCGCCTTCTTCCTTTGAGATTTACAAATATCACATTGTTAGACATAAATTAGGCAGTAAAATGCAACTGAGAACCGTAGGCTGCCTGAAATATTAATTGGACATTTGGTTACTCTCTAAATGCGCCATTTTGAAAGGTTGCTGGTTAATTAGAGGTGTTTAAAAAGCTTATTGACGGGGTAGCTTCTAATGCTGGATGATTTGGCATTTAAAAATCATCTGGACATCTCCATTACGGATGAATGAAGGGGCATGAAAAAAATTCTGTGTGGCGAGGGATTCTTTGCTGATCATTTGCGCAACAATGGCAGTATAAAAAAGCTGGCGGAATGGATGACACGCAAAGGCATTGTCGGGCTGAAATTTGTCGTTTTTGGTTGTTACAAGTATGGTTTTTTTTATTGTTATATGTATCTGATTTTTGCCACTGTTAAGGAAGTACAGGCGTCTGTAACGGAAATTGGTGGAATTTAATTCTGGGAACGACAGTGAGAAAATAATAATAATGTTCTAGCGATTAATGATAATGTTAAATAATGTTAACAACAACTGTCCTGACGTTGTAATTGATAGGCATCTTAGGTAATCGACCACATTTTATTCTCTAGAGACATTACTCAACCAGTATGCTATAACTAACTAATTTCACCTCATGCAAAGTAAAATTGGTGTCCAGTTTCACTCGTCGGGTACTCTACCAATTTTAAGGTGTTAGACGGGATAATATTTCAAAAATGGTAAACCAAAGAACACAAGTAAAGAACAAAAGGTATTTTTGGCGGACAGGATATTTTTAGACTCCGAAATCGTAGCAAAACGAATGGTATAAGAAGAATAAAAATAAGTCGAATATTCTCCGGACTTAAGTTTATCACAAAAGGTATTGCTCAAGAGTTTTATTAATCGTTCAGTAGGTTTCCTGAAATGTTTGCGGGTAGTAGTTTTTTGGATTGAGTGTCAGAAAGAGGCGGAATAATTTTGAAACATTCTCGGACCAATGTCAAAAACCATCAAAAAATTTTTTTACTCACCTAAAATATAAATTTATTTGTCATCAGTTGTCTTCATATTCCCAATGACGACAGTTCGCCATCTACTAAAAATTATGTTCTTATACTTATATTTCCTCTCATAATTCTACTGTTCTAGCGATTAATAATAATATTAAATATTGTTAACAACAACTGTAATTCTGTGCTTTTTGATCATAGTGTTGATCAAATTTTGTTAAAGTTTGATAAGCCCAAAACAAATCGTTTGAAATGATTACTGTTCAAATGAAAAACAAGCACGAAAAACAAGCACGATAGAGTCTCAATATGATGTAAAGCCCCCCAACTAGTGATCGGATCATAAAATTTTTTGAAGGTAGATGTCCTTTCAAAAAAAAAAAAACAAAACAGTAGTATTACCCTGTCAATGAATTAACGTTTGAAAATAGCGCTTATCAATATTGTTCTAATCATATAAGCACTATAGGTTTTTTTGCACCGTACAACTTTGTTGCTAAAAATCAGACAATTCTCCATTGCTGTTAACAACTTCCACTGTTTTGTTTTTCATTGTCTGCCTCTCACTTCCAGTTGTTGAATCCAGCATGAAAATGCAACTGATAGGGTTCCATTTAGAGAAAATGATGCTGAGTAAAATAGCAAAATTTTTGGGAACACTGAAAGTGTATAGTAAATTTCTATGACCTAGGCAACCATTTAACAAAGGATAGCTTCTATTGATAACTGCCGTTTTAGTTCAAATAACGAAATTTACAATGTCAAAAACTGAGATTTTTGTACCATGTCACAAAATCCAAAAAAAAATTCTGCTTTTTTTTTTGAAGAGATAAACTAAGAAAAAGTCAGCACTTTTTGAATGCGCTATTGTAAATTATGTAAAATGAGAACTGTGTGATAAATTTATTCCAAGAAAAAACAAAAAACTAATATGTTGCTATTTAGTTTTGGCTCTATTTCAGTAGACTAACGACCAGACAATTCAATTTCAAGTGAACTGAAGGAAATGCATCGGGAACCCTGTAATTGGCAGCAGTAATCCGTTGGTTGACAACGTATCGACCATTACGTAATGCGGTCAAAGCCTAAACGTTGCAAAAGGACAGCGCTGAAAAATGCTACCGTTTATAACGGCAGCCTGTTTTGCAGTGAGTTTACTGCTTATATTCATTCATAAGGTCTTGTTTTTTTTTTCTTTTTTTTTTTTTGTGTTTATTCACTGACAGCCGTGTTTAGCACAGGAAACTACTGTTTATTAGCGTTTTCTATAGAATAATTTATGAAATTATATTAATACTTGATATACTGCATTATGTGATTGCCAAAGATCAACATGAAATAAAAGCACTGAACGGTCTATCCATACTGATGAATTGTTCCGAAAATTATCAAGAACTGTAAAACAACTGAAATTATTGGGTAAAGGAGGTAAGGGAAAAAAAAAACAATTGGAAAACAAAAGAATGCAAAACAAGCGTCTAGGTTTACCGGTCTGATAACTGAACTAGTGTATAAAGTAATAAAACAAAAATTTTACCATGCCACCACTTTTTTCTGCAACAAATTTATAGCCCTAGCAAACATTGGAATCATTTACATCGATAACTTTAACCCGTTTAAGGAGACATTTTCCTTCCAATTTTGTACCTCTTTTATTGTTTTAAAGAATTTATACGATTTAATCTCCAAGCTTTCCCGTTTAGTTTTTCCTTTTTTTTTTCTCTTCTTTTCTCTTTTTATTCTTTGTTGAAGAATATAACCTTAGCGTTTCTTTACTCTGTAATAATGCCAACTGCCTTAGCATAATTATGCTTTTTTCTATTGAACATATAAAGAAGGCAAAAAAATGTTGAATCTGTCCTAAATAAAAAATTTGGTGGAGCAGTATTTCAGTTTCTGATAGAGAGAAGTAAGACAAAAATAAATAAATTTATCAACACATCATACCAATAAATTCTTAGCTGTAACAGAGCATATTTTTAACTCGTTGGATACAATAAATTTAACAAAAATTTTTCTTTACTATCTTTCCTCTAAGAAGCTATATTATACAAACTGGTTAAGGGAGCATTGTTCAAAAATGCAAACCGCGGTATCCCACTTAAAATTTAGGCAATTTTTAAACTGAATGTGTGTAACATTTATTCCATTTTTTCAAATCTAATTGCCTGTAAAAAACATTGTCAAAATCTCAAACCGCACTAACGCATCACTGGTAAATTTTACTGAAAAAAGTTTTTTTGTTAAATACTTGAAAATTATTATGTTATTTTTACAGATTTTTTTGATATATCACAACACACATCTATTTGTAATTTTAACTGTAAGCAGCAAATGTGTAATTATTTTAGATTTTGATAAAGCAATAAATAAAGTTTTAAAAGAGTTGCGCCCGCTACTGGTCGATTTCTTTTGCTTTATATTTATGCCGCTATTACTGTATACTGATAT